TGACTCTAGGTTGGTTCTAAAAATTGAAACAAAAAATAGCATTTACATGACAGTGACTTCAGTCTGTTTCCTTTCCTCCTTTGTCCTTCCCTGAATTTGAATCTCTAAATCTAGGGCATGAATTCCAGAGTGGGTGGGATGAGTAAACCAACAAGGTAACAAAAGCATAAGTAAGAGCAGTGTCAATCAGAGGCACCTATGCTGAGCTGGAAGTCTCCCAGCAGGACATTGCTAGAGGGGACCTGTAGTTTTGGGCAGGAGGTGGTATTTCAGTTGTGCTATGAAGGGTGAGAGTTAGATTTGTTAGGATTAGTGAAACATGGGTTGGAGACTTTAGGGTGCAGTAGCCAGTTGACCAGCAGGTTACATGAAGTGGGTGATTCCTGGAGAAGCAGGAAAGCTGTTGGGTTAGAATTATGGAGAGAGATGGATAGGGGGCAGGTTATTAAGCCTTGGATTATTTTACTTTTTTTTTTTTTTTTTTTGAGGTAGATCCTCGCTCTGTTGCTCAGGCTAGAGTGCAGTGGCTCGATCTCGGTCCACTGCAACCTCCGCCTCCTAGGTTCAAGCGATTCTCCTGCCTTAGCCTCCCGAGTAGCTGGGACTACAGGTGCCTGCCACCACGCCTGGATACTTTTTGTATTTTTTTTTTGGAGATGGAGTCTCGCTCTGTCACCCAGGCTGGAGTACAGTGGCCGGATCTCAGCTCACTGCAAGCTCCGCCTCCCGGGTTTACGCCATTCTTCTGCCTCAGCCTCCCGAGTAGCTGGGACTACAGGCGCCCGCCACCTTGCCCGGCTAGTTTTTGTAATTTTTAGTAGAGACGGGGTTTCACCGTGTTAGCCAGGATGGTCTCGATCTCCTGACCTTGTGATCCGCCCGTCTCGGCCTCCCAAAGTGCTAGGATTATAGGCTTGAGCCACCGCGCCCAGCCACTTTTTGTATTTTTAGTAGAGACGGAGTTTCACCATATTGGCCAGGCTGATGTTGAACTCCTGACCTTGTGATCTGCCCGCCTCAGTCTCCCAAAGTGCTGGGATTATAGGCTTGAGCCACCGCGCCTGGCCAAGGATGATTTTACTTTTGACTTTAACTTCCCAGAATGTTTACTGATGTGGTCCCTCTGAGGTGAGGTGGTTCAGAGGGTCTTTGGAAAGCACAACTAGATGGAAGAATGAAGAGTGAGAGCTGCTAAAAAGAATTTAAAGAGGCCAGGTACAGTGGCTCACACCTGTAATCCCAGCACTTTGGGAGGCTGAGGTGGGAGGATTGCTTCAGCTCAGGAGTTTGAGACTAGCCTGGATAACCTGAGGAAATGCTGTCTCTGCAAAAATTATCCAAGCGTGGTGGTGTATGCCTGTAGTTCCGGCTACTTGAGAGGCTGAGGTAAGAAGATTGCTTGAGCCCAGGAAGTTGAGACTGCTATGAGCTGTGTTTGTGCCACTGCACTCCAGCCTGGGCAACAGAGCGAGACACTGTCTCAAAACAAAACAAAACAAAACAAAACAAAAAAACCCCAAGAATTTAAAGATGGCGGAACTAGGGCTTGATGATTGTGTAATATCATCAAACTTGGAGCTCCCAGAGATGAAGAAGGAAAGGGGAAATCAAGCCTTAACCATATGCAATTGACTGAGAACCTACTAGAAGGCCCAACAGATTGCTCTTAGTGCTCAACAAAGGCCCAGGGATGAGGATTAATAGGTTTTATTTCCTAGCTACTGTACTGGGTTAAATAGTGTCCCCCCAATATTGGTATCTGCCAAGAACCTGTGAATGTGCCTTATTTGGGAAATAGGGCCTTTGTACATTGAATCTGGTTAAGATAAGGTCATACAGCTCAGGCTGTAAATCCAGTGACTTGTCTCTATGTAAGGAGAGGGCTGTTTGAACATACAGTGACATATGGACATGCACAGAGGGAAGGTGGCCATGTGAAGACAGGCAGAAATTAGAGTGATGCAGCTGCAAGCCAATGAATGCCAAGGATTGTGGCCACCACCACAAGCTAAGAGGCAAGGAAGGATTTTTCTCAAGACCCTTTGCAGGTGTGTGCAATCTTTTGGCTTCCCTGGGCCACACTGGAAGAATTGTTTTGGCCCACACTTAAAATATGCTGACACTAACGATAGCTGATGAGCTTAAAAAAAAAAAAAAAAAGGCCGGGCGCGGTGGCTCAAGCCTGTAATCCCAGCACTTTGGGAGGCCGAGACGGGCGGATCACGAGGTCAGGAGATCGAGACCATGCTGGTTAACACAGTGAAACCCCGTCTCTACTAAAAAATACAAAAAATTAGCCGGGTGAGGTGGCGGGCGCCTGTAGTCCCAGCTACTCGGGAGGCTGAGGCAGGAGAATGGCGTGAACCCGGGAGGCGGAGCTTGCAGTGAGCTGAGATCCGGCCACTGCACTCCAGCCCGGGTGACAGCGCGAGACTCCGTCTCAAAAAAAAAAAAAAAAAAAAAGGCCACACATAAATCTCAATTTTTTTTTTTTTTTTTTTTTTTTGAGACAGAGTCTTGCTCTGTCGCCAGGCTGGAGTGCTGTGTTGTGATCTTGTCTCACTGCAACCTCCAACTCCCTGGTTCAAGCGATTCTCCTGCCTCAGTCTCCCAAGTAGCTGGGATTACAGGCATGCGCCACCATGCCCGGCTAATTTTTGTATTTTTAGTAGAGATGGGGTTTCATCTCATAATGTTTTAAGAAAGTTTACAAATTTGTGTCAGGCTGTGTTCAAAGTTGTCCTGGGCTGCATGCAGCGTGTGGGCTGTGGGTGGGACACACTTGCTTTAGAGGGGACATGGCCCTGACGGCACCTCGATTTCAGATTTCTAGCCTCCAGAACTGTGAGAGGATAAACTGTTGTTTTAAGCCACCCAGTTTGTGGTAATTTATTATAGCAGCCCTAGGAAACCAATACCTTGTAAAATAGTCATTCATCCATTTGACATCTGTTCTATTAATCATCAACTTATAATGCACCTGTCTCTGTTTAGGTAAAGTGAAAAGATGGAACTGGTCCCTTTCCTCTTGGGAACTCACAATTAAACTAGTCAATGACTCTAAGCTCATCTGAGTCTATAGAATCTGAGAGTTCAAATGGCCCTAAGTGTTACCTGTCTACATTTACCCCATACTCATAATGATTGAATCTCCAAAAGTACTTTTCCAGTCTCTGCATATAATCTTATAGAATGGGGAACTCACTTCTCCCTAGAGATGGTCCCCTGTACTCCTACAGACTTCGACTCAGAAAATTCTCAGACTGATGCCGGGTGCGGTGGCTCACGCCTGTAATCCCAACATTTTGAGAGGCTGAGGCGGGCAGATCATGAGGTCAAGAGATCGAGACCATCCTGGCCAACATGGTGAAACCCCGTTTCTACTAAAAATACAAAAATTATCTGGGTGTGGTGGCGTGCACCTGTAGTCCCAGCTACTTGGGAGGCTGAGGCAGGAGAATCACTTAAACCTGGGAGGCAGAGGTTGCAGTGAGCTGAGATTGCGCCACTGTACCCCAGCCTGGTGACAGAGCGAGACTCCATCTCAAAAAGAAGAAGAAGAAAAAAAAGTAAGTTCTCACAATGGTTGCAGTGGCTCATGACTATAATCCAGCACTTTGAGAAGCTGTGGTGGGTGGATAACTTGAGGTCAGGAGTTTGAAACCAGCCTGGCCAACATGGTGAAACCCCATCTCTACTAAAAATACAAAAATTAGCTGGGTGTGGTGGTATGCGCCTGTAGTCCCAGTTACTCAGGTGACTGAGGCAGGAGAATTGCTTGAAACTGGGAGGTGGAGGTTGCAGGGAGCCAAGATCATACCACTGCAGTCTGGCCTGGGTGACAGAGTGAGACTCTATCTCTGGATCTTAGTAACATTTACCTATTGATCCTGGTTTTCCTCATTGAGTTAACAAAGTTTGATCCCTCTTCCCCAGGAGAGCTTGTTATTTAATGGAAAACAGTGGTGGTTACTCTCTTGATGCACGTTCAATTCTAGGTAGTGCTTCTTTCACCAGCAAGCTCTCCTCTGTGAGAAAACCTTGTATCCTTAATAGTAGTAATAGACACAGCTGACATTTATAAGGACTTATTATGTATTAAGCATCATGCTAAGTGTTTGGCATACATTATTGAATTTGATCCCCATGATAAGGCTATGAGGAAAGCACTATTAAGCCTCATTTAATAGATGAGGAAATTGATGGTTAGAGAGGTCAAGGACTGTACAAGAAGTTGTGCAGCTAGATAAGCATGAAGTAAGGATTTTTTTGAGACAAGGTCTTGTTCTGTCACCCAGGCTGGAGTGCAGTGGTGTGATCACGGCTCACTGCAGCTTCTACCTTCTTGGGCTCAGGTGATCCTCCCACCTCTGCCTCTTGAGTAACTGAAACTATAGGTGTGTGCCACCACACTCGGCTAATTTTTTGTAGAGACTGGGTTTCACCATGTTGCCCAGGCTGGTCTCCATCTGCTGGGCTCAAGACATCTATTCATCTCAGTCTCCCAAAGTGCTGGAATTACAGGCATGAGCCACCATGCCTGGCCTGGAGTAAGGATTTTTTTTTTTTTTTTTTTTTTTTTTTTTTGAGACGGAGTCTCACTGTGTCGCCCAGGGTGGAGTGCAGTGGCCAGATCTCAGCTCACTGCAAGCTCCGCCTCCCGGGTTTTTTTTTTTACGCCATTCTCCTGCCTCAGCCTCCCGAGTAGCCGGGACTACAGGCGCCCGCCACCTCGCCCGGCTAGTTTTTTGTATTTTTTAGTAGAGATGGGGTTTCACCGTGTTAGCCAGGATGGTTAACCTCGTGATCCGCCCGTCTCGGCCTCCCAAAGTGCTGGGATTACAGGCTTGAGCCACCGTGCCCGGCCAAGTAAGGATTTTTATCAGATTAAATTCCATGTTCTGATCCAACCGCACTGCCTCTCGTTGCCTAAGAACCTGGGGTTATCTTGGGAATACCCTTGCCTTACCATGAACCTACTTTTGTCTCTCTGGATGCAGGAAGGACCATCAGAGTGCTCCACCTGTGCAGTATGGGGAACTGCAGTCTTTGCTAGAAGCCATGCTAAACCGGTGTGCGGAGTTTTCCCAGACCTTGCTGAACAGGAGGCCCCTGGTCAGTGTACTGCAGCCTGCTGCTTCTGAAGATCATGCTGCAATGTGTTTTTAGAAAGATAATTAGTATATTCCCTTACTTTTGTATGCTATTTCATGGCTTTTTCTCATGCACACATGGCTACTATGAGGCTTAAGGATTATTATTCTCATTTTTACAGATGGGGAAACTAAAGCCACGAGGGTTAAATAATTTTTCTCTAAGGTCTATAACTAGAAAGTACCTAAGCCTAGATACTAAATTCCAGGGTGTTTTTATCCCAGTCTATTACATACATTCTCCATTTATATCATATAAACAGATAGAGTAAACATGCTCACAAAATTATTTAAGTCTGGATTCACTAGAGGCTTAGAATCTGAACCATATACAATGTGTTGTAGTTGCTGACTTTTAATAGCCTGTAGACTTAAGATATCAGGTAAGACACTGTCAGTGTGAATGTTGATTGTGTCTTTCAGGATTAACTTTGGAAACTAAGCTCTTTACACCTGATGGAGTGGAGATTTTCTTGTGTTTTAGAGCAACTAATAGGGCCATTACAGTCAAGCTAATGCCCACTAGCCTGTGACAGCTTTCTGCATATAATAGACCAATAGCCATTCCTGTGGTTCAGAGAGACTGTTGGTTAAGATCCCTCCAACACTGCTACCATTTTTTTTTTTTTTTTTTTTTTTTTTTTTGAGACAGAGTCTCACTCTGTGGCCCCAGTCTGGAGTGCAGTGGCGCACGATCTTGACTCCCTGCAACCTCCGCCTCCCGGGTTCCAGCGATTCTGCCTCAGCCGCCCGAGTAGCTGGGATTACAGGCATGCACCACCACACCTGGCTAATTTTTGTATTTTTAGTAGAGACGGGGTTTCACGATGTTGGCTAGGCTGGTCTCGAACTCCTCACCACCTCGGCCTCCTAAAGTCCTGGGATTACAGGCATGATCCACCGCACCAGGCCCCTGCTACCATTTTTTTTTTTTTTTTTCTGAGATGGAATCTTGCTCTTGTTGCCCAGGCTGGAGTGCAGTGGCGTGATCTCGGCTCACTGCAACATTTGCCTCCGGGGTTCAAGCAATTCTCCTGCCACAGCCACCCTAGTAGATGGGACTACAGGTGCCTGCCACCATGCCTGGCTAATTTTTTTTTTTTTGTATTTTAGTAGAGACGGAGTTTCACCATGTTAGCCAGAATGGTCTCGATCTCCTGACCTTGTGATCTGCCCGCCTTGGACTCCCAAAGTGCTGGGATTACAAGCGTGAGCCACCACGCCCAGCTTTGCCACGATTTTTTAAAGGAGCTATTTGCAAGGATATAGCCAAGATCTCTTGGAAAGTTAGGTGTACAGGAATGTCAGACTGCAGTGTGAGAAGAAGAGGTCTACAGTCATCCAAGCATAGACTGAGACACAGCATATACTTGATCACTAGGTTCCTGTCTCTCCTTCCCACCTCAGGGCCATGCCTCCAGTAGAAATTCAGAGAAAGCCATTCTTCAAAGGGGAAAGTTCCTCCTGAGCACTCTGGAGGGATTTAGAAGTGCCTGCAGGTGAGGAGCCCTCTGTGGTACGAAGTAATAGCATGGAAGGTAGGTGTGGAAGGGATTCAGACAATGGGTGAAGTTCTAGAGGCAATACTTGATTTCTGATACTCTGCTGTATGGCAAAGAGGATTTTGGCTGGGGTAGGATTTGCGGGGGTGTGGAGGAGGCTTGAGGGCAGGCAGCTAGGGGTAGGACCTTTCTAAAGATTCCTTCCGCTGGGCGCGGTGGCTCAAGCCTGTAATCCCAGCACTTTGGGAGGCCGAGGCGGGCGGATCACAAGGTCAGGAGATCGAGACCACAGTGAAACCCCGTCTCTACTAAAAATACAAAAAATTAGCCGGGCGCGGTGGCGGGCGCCTGTAGTCCTAGCTACTCAGGAGGCTGAGGCAGGAGAATGGCGTGAACCCAGGAGGCGGAGCTTGCAGTGAGCCGAGATCGCGCCACTGCACTCCAGCCTGGGCAACAGCGTGAGACTCCATCTCAAAAAAAAAAAAAAAAAAAAAAAAAAAGATTCCTTCCTCATGGAGTTTTGCTACTGTGCCATGAAGTTGTGTCTTATTCACCTTCGCTCCCCACCACCCCCCAACTAGCCTAGCACTGTAAGTATTCACTGAATGGTTGTTGAATTAATTCAGTTTACATTAACAAATGTTTGTTGTATCTACTGTGTGCCATGCCTGATGCTAGACAGTGGGGCTGGAAAGAAAAGTCAGAATGACTCCTGCCCGCAAGGAGCTCACAGTCTCTTGGGGAAGAGATGCTTTTTTGTATACGTGTGGGATTTGTTAGGTTTTCAAGAACCTGGGGAAGGTATTCCAGATGGAGAGAGCAGCATATTTAAAGGCAAATGAATGGGAAATAGCAAATAGCATAGCATATTCAGGGAAGTACACACAGTGGGGTGGAAGTACACATAGTTGGGGGAGGGGGAGGGAGCAAGAATCTGGAGATGTAGCCAGGGATCAAGTCTTCTCCTCATTGTGGTCTATTGAACTTTCTCCTGATCTGATAATAGAGATACTTTCCCTGGACCCTGAGCACAGGCACTCCCGCTACCCCCAGGAGGGTGTTTGTAATCTTTAGGTTGCGTAGGTGGTAGTGGATATACTTACACATTGATTTCTTAGGTTGGCTATAGAATTCCAGAGTGAGCCTTCAGCCCAGGAGAATCCATTCACAGCTCCCAGCGCCAAGAAGGAAGACACCTTGGAGGCCTTCTCAGAATTTCTTCTCAGTGCCTGTGACTCGCTGTGTATCCCTATGGTGATGGTGCGTTCTCCTGAGCCATGGGCAGCATGAAGCTTGGGGCAGAGAGGAATGTGCAGGCGAGCCAGGCTCAGAGGCATAAGGCAGTGACTGCTCAAAGGAACTCTCTGGGGGCCTCAGCAGTGCGATTCTTGCTGCTACCTTTCCTTTGTTCTAAAAATAAAATGTAGTGTTTCATTATGAAACTAACAGTTTCCTCTTAAGAAAAAATAGAAAGCAGTAATAATAAAATAATAAGTTGGTAAGTTTATGGAGCAATAAGTGCCTAATATTCACTGCCGGATTTAGTTCTCCCAATGGCCCTGGGAGATGGATGCTATAATTTGCCCTAATTTACAGATAAGGTTGTCATATTTCTATAGTTATAAAGCAAGCCCATAATGGTGCTGAGATTGAACCTATTACTTCAGGTCCCCTAGCTTTTCTTGTGTCTTTAATGAGCAGCAGTGAATGTCTGTTATCCAAGTGTTAATAAGGAACATGTATGTGTGTTCTGTAAAATGAGAGATGACCACTCTGAAGAGAGGCTTGATCCTGAAGAGCTTCATTCTGAATTGACCTGAGATTGAGATGGTGGGAAGAGCAGGGCCAAGAGCTGCTGACTCTGGGTAACCTTGGATGAATCCTCTCCTGCTTGAGGTTTGGGCATCCTGTGAGCCTGTGAGGAGTACCTGTTAGTCAGGAAAGGGCAACTCCTAACCATCTACTGGGAACAGTAGGTGGCAGCAGGGAGGCACCTCTGGCTCTGCACGAGTGAGGTTCTCTTCCTTGAAGAAGCCATTGAGCTGGAGTCTGCAAGAGGTAGTGGTCAGGGACCTTGGACTGTGGCCCTGACTTAACCCACTAACAGTAAGACTTGGGCAACTCATGGCAGTTTACTAACCTCCCCTGCCTTCCTCCTAGATTTTTGAAGTGTTAGAGCTAAATCTAGAAGATCATAGAATTATTGTATTATTCCTTCTTTCTACTTTTCTGTATTTTACACATTTTCTTTAAAGAGCATATATTACTTTTATAATAATAAAAACAACCAAACTTGCTCTAAAAATGAAAGGAAAGGTGTCAACAAGAACAATGCCTCTGAGGACCCAGCTGTTTACAGAAAGGGAATTGAGATTCAGGGAAGGGAGGAGGTGACTGACTACCCAGGGGCACATTGTGGTGGCTATGTACAGAGCCTGAACTAGAACCCTGTTTTTTTTTTTTTTTTGCTAATTCAGAGCTGTGTCTACCACATAAGACTGCCTCATGACTCTTGAAGAATTACCTGAAGGCTGGTCTGAGTGCAATGGTATTTACAACTAATTGATCACAACCAGTTACAGATTTCTTTGTTCCTTCTTCATTCCCCCTGCTTTACTTGACCAGCCTTAAAAATAATAATAACAGGCCAGGTGCGGTGGCTCATGCCTGTAATTCCAGCACTTTGGGAGGCTGAGGCGGGTGGATCACTTGAAGTCAGGAATTTAAGACCAGCCTGGCCAACATGGCGAAACCCCGTCTCTACTAAAAATACAAAAATTAGCCGGGCGTGGTGGTGCGTGCCTGTAATCCCAGCTGCCCAGGAGCATGAGCAGGCTAATCGCTTGAACCTGAGAGGCAGAGGTTTCAGTGAGCCAAGATCGCACCACTGATCTTCAGCCTGGGTGACAGAGACTCCATCTCAAAAAACAAACAAACAAAAAACAACCCCCCCCAAAAAAAATAACAAATATGAAGGCAGTTTATTAACTATATTATTATTATTACTATAGTAATAGAAACATGAGAGTCACTCTGCATTATGGTTTAGAAAGCAGTTTTTATGCACCAGACCACATTTGTTTCTGGGAGGGATATCTTGTTATTCCCATTTTAGTCTTTTGGGAACAGAGGCACAAAGAGATAAAGTATCTAGTGCAATCTATTAGGTGATCCAAGCCTTAGATATAGGGTTGGACTTTAAGTTCCCTAGCTTTTCTTGTGTCTTTCAAGTGAAAGGAGTTAATCTACTGTTGCTAGATTTGATGAGAGTTTTCTCTGATGCCTTTTCTTCTTCAGAGACTCAATCCTGATGGGCTATGTTCTCTCTCTGGTTCTTTGCAGAGACATTTGGAGCAGACCACCCACCCAGCTTTGATGGAAGTTTTCCTCTCAATTCTACACAGCCTCTTTGTCATCGTTCCCCACATGAAGGAGAAGTTTTCCAAGAAGCTTGGTAGGCAGTAGGCAAATGTGGAGGTTGGGAGAGAGGCAAGCACCTTAGGCAGTGCTCAGAGAGTATTCAAACAGAGCATAAGTTGTGGGTGCACATTTACTAATTCATTCAGAATCTGTATCCTTTGTCCACTGTTGAGTGAAAGGAAGTAACAGGCAGCAATCAAAAGTCATTAAAGGGGCTGGGGGTGGTAGCTCATGCCTGTAATCCCAGTGCTTCAGGAGACCCAGATGGAGGATCACCTGAGGCTAGGAGTTTGAGACCAGCTTGGACAATACAGTGAGACCCATCTCTACAAAAAGATTAAAGAAAAATTAGCTGAGAGTTTTTAGTAATGTTAGTGACTAGTTGTTAATAATAACTAACATTTAAGTTCTTACAGTGTGTGAGACACTGTTTTAAGTGCTTGCATGTATGGACTCATTTAGTCCTCAGAAAAACCCTAGGAATTTTCTATTATGATTATACTCATTCTACTGACGAGCAAACTGAATCTCAGAGAGGTTAAGTAACTTGCCTAAGGTCACACTATAAGTGGTATGCCCAGGATTCAAACCCAGGGAATCTGGCTGTAGAATATGCTTTCTATTCTTTTCTTTTTTTTTCTGAGATGGAGTCTTGCCCTGTCGCCAGGCTGGAGTGCAAGTGGCACGAACTCGGCTTACTGTAAGCTCTGCCTCCTGGGTTCACGCCATTCTCCTATCTCAGCCTCCCAAGTAGCTGGGACTACAGGTGCCTGCCACCATGCCTAGCTAATTTTTTGTATTTTTTAGTAGAGACAGGGTTTCACCGTGTTAGCCAGGATGGTCTCGATCTCTTGACCTCATGATCCGCCTGCCTCGGCCTCCCGAAGTGTTGGAATTACAGGCGTGAGCCACTGCGCCTGGCCAGAACATGCTTTCTTAATCTCTGAGCTATATTTGACTCTTATCATTATAATTTAATGTTTTTTCTTTTATTCTTGTCACATGGCATGCAACAATGTTGTGCAACAAGTCTACTGTGGAGAGGCAGCCAGGGCTCAGCCAAGTAGGCCCTTTTGGCCTTGTGAGGAATTTGGATTTTTTTTCTTATTTATTATTTATTTTTTTGAGACACAGTCTCACTCTGTCGCCTAGGCTGGAGTGCAGTGGCATGATCTCAGCTCACTGCAGTCTCCGCCCCGCCTGATTCAAGTGATTCTCCTGCCTCAGCCTCCTAAGTAGCTGGGATTGCAGGCATCTGCCACTGCACCTGGCTAATTTTGTAATTTTTTTTTTTTTAAGTAGAGATGGGATTTCACCATCTTGGCCAGGCTGGTCTCGATCTCTTGACCTCGTGATCTGCCCACCTCGGCCTCCCAAAGTGCTGAGATTAGAGGTGTGAACCACTGTTCCTGGCCTTTTTTTTTTTTTTTTTGAGACGGAATTTCGCTCTTGTTGCCCAGGCTGGAGTGCAATGGCACAATCTCGGCTCACCACAGCCTCTGCCTCCCGGTTCAAGTGATTCTCCTGCATCAGCCTCCCGAGTAGCTGAGATTACAGGCATGTGCCACCATGCCCAGCTAATTTTGTATTTTTAGTAGAGATGGGGGTTTCTCCATGTTGGCCGGGCTGGTCTCGATCTCCTGACCTCAGGTGATCCGGCCACCTTGGCCTCCCAAAGTGTTGGCATTACAGACATGAACCACCACACCTGGCCTGGAATTTGGATTTTATCCTAGGAGTTTTGTTGAGTTTTAAAGAAGTGGAGCAACATTTCAGATTTCTGTTTCAGAAAGATCTTTCTTGGAGCTGTGTGGACTATGAGTTAGAGGGAGGCAGATTGGAGGCATGTATCTCAGCCTCTTGGATTAACTCAGGTTGGTGGTAGGAACTAAGGTAGTGTTGGGGCATGGAATAGTTGGATGTAGGGCTTGAAAGAGAGGGAACAGTGCAGGGTAATGCCTGGCTTCTGGCTGCCTTCTATGTGGATGGTGGTGTGTTAACTGAGAGAAGGCTCACTGCAGGAGGATCTGGTTTGGGGAGGCAGTAGAGGATACGGTCAGTTTGGTCAGGGTGAATGTGAGATGTTCCAGTGTAGATGTTAGTGGGTAATTGACGGTCTGAAGACAAGGGAGAGATCTGGGATTAGATACAGGTATAGAAATCTTCAGCATCCAGCCTTTCATTCATTCAACAAATATTGGGCACCTACTGCATGCAACGTATCATGCTACAGCTGGAGATTTAGCAGTGAACAAAACAGACCCTGTCCTTGTGAGGCTGACTCCTCAGTGGGGATCAGGTGAGATTCTTCAAAGTTGAGTGTGTAAAATGAAATGATGAAAGAAGCCAAGACAAAATTAAGAGAGAAGCATTTAATGGTCAGGAGAGGAGAGTACGAGCATTTGGAGAGGGAGGAAGGAAACCAGAAGGGTATGACATTAAGGAAGCCAAATGAAGAGGTTTTGTGGATTGGGGAGTAGTCAGGAGTGTGAAATGTATCCAGAGGTCAAGTAAGATGAAGTTTAAAAATGTCCATTGGACTTGGCTTCATGGCAGCTTTGGCCACATTGGCCAGAGCAGTTCTGTGGAGTGGTTGGAATGGAAGACAGACCAGAGTGAGTTAAAGAATTAGTGCAAGATGAGGCAGTAGAGACAGGATACACAACCTTTGACAAGTTTCGTGTGAGGGAAGGTGAGAAACAGGGGTATGAGTAGAGGGGAACATGGAATTAGGAAGGATTTTTCTACCCCCTAGGATTGGAAACACATCTGATTAGCTGCTCATAGGAAGAAGCAGTAGAGAGACTGTGGTTGTTAGCCATATGAGTTGGAATCTTCTCACCTCTCTTAACTTGTGTATTGAGATTACATAAATTAATTTTCTTATCTCCAGTGTCCTTAGCTAGAGCATGGTGATAATAGTGAGAATTAAACAAGATGATTATATAGATTTCCTGAAGACTGCATCCCTCAGCCGTTGTGATAACTGATACACACTTCTTCCCTTCCTTCTAACATTCTCCTGCCTGCCATACTTCAGGACCCAAGAGGTAGTCTTGGGGCACTGGATGAGAGGCAAGTGTAGATCTCTTGGGGGCAGTGGTGGGGAATAGGGGATGTAGAAAAAGGCTGTGAGATCTATAGGGAGATCTGTGCAGCATAAAGCCAGGTAGCACAGGATTAGAGGCTCAACCTGCAAGAGGGAGGAGGGAAGCAGGCACTGCCAGCCAGGAATGGTATGGAGACCTGGAGTAGGAGGGTGGAGAAACTCTGGATCCCTGAGAGATTGGGCCAAGAGGAGCGCATCTGGAAGGGAAGCTTGGTGCCCCTTCCCTGGGGAAGTCATGGGTTAAATTGTTGCCCCAGAGAGTTGCTGTGAAACCCTGAGGGATTCCCTATGAGCTGCTTTAGCCCCAGCATAAAATACAGATTATTCCCAACTCAGGGGCTGGTGAAATGGGAGCTTCTGAGTCTTCTTTATCTAGGATTCTGCTTTACAGTGGCCCAGGAAGGCAGAACAGAGTTTAGTATTGGCTGAAAGCCTTACTGGGAGACTGAGAGGAGCCAGAAGCACAAGGGCCTGGGCCAGGGTCAACAGCTAAGGCAGAAACTGCTGGCCAGGCCACAGTGGCTCACGCTTGTAATCCCAGCACTTTGGGAGGCCGAGGTGGGCGGATCACCTGAGGTCCGGAGTTCAATACCAACCTGACCAACATGTAGAAACCCTGTCTTTACTAAAAATACAAAATTAGCTGGGCATGGTGGCACATGCCTGTAATCCCAGCTACTCAGGAGGCTGAGGCAGGAGAATTGCTTGAACCTGGGAGATGGAGGTTGCAGTGAGCCAAGATCATACCATTGCACTCTAGCCTGGGCAATAAGAGTGAAACTCCATCTTAAAAAAAAAAAAAAAAAAAAAGGCTGGGCGCAGTGGCTCACACCTGTAATCCAGCACTTTGGAGGCCGAGGTGGCGGATCATGAGGTCAAGAGATCGAGACCATCCTGGCCAAACATGGTGAAACCCCGTCTCTACTGAAAATACTAAAATCAGCTGGGTGTGGTGTGCACACCTGTAGTCCCAGTTACTTGGGAGGCTGAGGCAGGATAATCGCTTGAACCCGGGAGGCGGGAGGTTGTAGTGAGCCGATATCATGCCACTGCACTCCAGCCTGGCGACCAAAGTGAGACTCCGTCTCAAAAAAAAAAAAAAAAAAAAAAAAAAAAGGAAAGATAATGTTATCGGACCCCTGTTCTGAGAACCAGTTGCTTTCAAACAGACAATTTAGAGATGAGAATAAAATAGTAACTACTCCTGTTCTTTCTGCATCTGAAACTGGATTGTTTTCTATGAAACTGGAAGAAGGGATAGAAGGAGCAGATGTGCCCTTCCTAGGTCCTTGTCAAATGTCCCAAATTGTAGTGGAGGATCATTCAGAATGGAAGAAAATGAGCACTTATTGCAGCACTTACTTTGAGTCAAGTACTTGTTAGATGTTCTCCGTGCATTTATCTTACTTAGCTTTACAGCAGCCTGTGAGGTACAAATATCAAAACTGAGTCTCAGAGAAGTTAAAAAACCTTTCCAGAGTGAAACTGCCAGATAGAGATGGAGCACATTTTGAACCAGGTCTGTGTAACTCTAAAACCAGAGCTTTTTGATACCACCCAGGCTTGGGACTCTCTGTGACAAGTCTGGTTTAAACTGCTTCTGCTTTATTCCCACTTCTCCGAAGCTGCCTCATCCTTCATACGACTGACCCTGGAGCTGAAGGCCAGGTTTTGCAGTGGTCTGAGGTATGTGTGGTCCCAGGCAAGATTGAGTGGCCAAGGGCCAATGTCCTTCTTGACGGGACAAGTGGGAATTGTTGGCTGGTGTGTTTTAGTCATGAGCTCATGGTGGTGTTGACATAGTGTCTGCCTTGCTCAGCATCTGGTGCAATAAGCTGAACATGCTTCTGTAGGTTGTATTGAATCTTGCCTGGTAAGGATCTTATGCCTGGTGTTACTTGGATGGGTACCTGTCACATCAAAACTGGGAGAGGCCTGGCACAGTGGCTCATGGCTGTAATCCCAGCACTTTGGGAGGCCAAGATGGGAGGATTGCTTGAAGACAGCAGTTCAAGATCAACTTAAGCAGCATAGCAAGACCCTAGTCTCTATAAATATATATATATATTTTTTTTTGAAATGGAGTCTTGCTGTGTCACCCAGGCTGGAGTACAGTGGTACAATCTTGGCTCACTGCAACAACCGCCTCCTGGGTTCAAGCAATTCTCCTGCCTCAGAACCTCAGTAGCTCGGATTATAGGTGCCTGCCACCACATCTGGCTAATTTTTGTATTTTTAGTAGAAATGGGGTTTCACCATGTTGGCCAGACTGGTCTCGAACTCCTGACCTCAGGTGATCCGCCCGCCTTGGCCTCCCAAAGTGCTGGGATTACAGGTTTGAGCCACCATGGCTGGCCACAAAAGTTTTTTTTTTTTTTTTTTTTTTTGCCAGACCTGGTGGTACACACCTCTAGTCTCAGATACTCAGGAGGCTGAGGCAAGAGGATCCTTGAGCCTAGGAGGTCAAAGCGGCAGTGAGACCTTGTCTCTCTCTGTCCAAAATGCCCCCCAAAACTGGAAGGGCTTTCAGAGATTATTTGTTTAACCTCTCATTTAAATGAGGAAACTGGACGGATTGAGCAGGAAACTCCGGCTGAGGCAGAAGATTGGCTTGAACCCGGGAGGTGGAGGTTGCAGTGAGCTTCTCGAGATAGCACCACTGCACTCCAGCCTGGGTGACAGAGTGAGATTCCATCTTAAAAAAAAAAAAAAAAAAAAAAAAGCTGCAGTGAGCTATGATCACACCCCACTCTAGCCGGAGCGACAGAGTGAGACCACTAAGGAAATTGAGGACCTCAAAGGGGAAAGGATGCAGTGCCTGTCATGTTCTAGTTTCTACCAGCTCTCCAATTCTAGAGGAGAAACTCTCTTGTTAAAGTAGAGGTTGCTGCCTCAGTCTCTGTCTTGTTAGATTTCTAGAGCAGCCTCTGTACCTTCTCATTTATGATTTGCCCCCTGTTTCTGTATTACTAAGAAGATTAATTTGTTACTTCCCACAGCCTACAAGCTGGCTACAATGCAGTGCCCAGCTTTCCTTCAATAATACTGAATACACCATCCAACATTTAGGAGAGAATACAAGGACCCACCTGGATTGAAAGTCAAAATTTTGGAAGTACTCCTTGGCTGCCCATGTGGGGTTCAGCTGCTGCTGCTTTTTCTAGTACTTCCTCAGCCCTTTTCTGGCCTAGGGGCACTTTTTTATTTGTATGTTTTATTAAATTGGAGCTTATAGCCCCCACTTCATATTTTTTCAGTAAATTTTTAGTGAGTGCCTATATGGGCCAGGTGTCCAAGTTACAGCTGAAGCAGCAGGTTCCATATTTACTTTTTTTTTTTTTTTTTAAGACAGAGCCTTGCCTCTTGTCACCCAGGCTGGAGTGCAATGGCACGATTTCGGCTCACTGCAACCTCTGCTTTCTGGGTTCAAGCAATTCTCCTGCCTCAGCATCCCGAATAGCTGGAATTCCAGGTACCTGCCACCACGCCTAGCAAATTTTGTATTATTATATTCAGACCGAGTCTCCCTCTGTCGCCCAGGCTAGAGTGCAATGGTGCTATCTCGGCTCACTGCAACCTCTGCCTTCTGAGTTCAAGCGATTCTCCTGCCTCAGCCTCCTGAGTAGCTGGGTTTACAGGCGTGTGCCACCATGCCTGGCTAATTTTGTATTTTTAGTAGAGACAGGGTTTCACCACGTTGGTCAGGCTGGTCTGGAACTCCTGACCTCGTGATCTGCCCGCCTCAGCCTCCAAAGTGCTGGGATTACAGGCATGAGCCACTGTGCCTGGCCAAATTTTGTGTTTTTAGTAGAGATGGGGTTTCACCATTTTGGCCAGGCTGGTCTCAAACTCCTGACCTCAGGTGATCCACCCACCTTGGCCTCCCAAAGTTCTAGAATTACAGGCATAAGCCACTGTGCCCAGCCCCATATTTACTTTTCATAGCCACCTTAGGACGTCTTCTGCCATGGCCATGGCTAGAATTTCACTAGCCTCTGGCACAAAGCAGTGGTGCCCAGGCATATGGCAGGGATAATGCTCTCCCAGTCAAAGTAGCAATGTCTTCTCTTCTGTTCTTTCTTCTTCTCCCTCTCTAAGTCACTCAGCCCTAAACCAGGTGTGTTCCAATTTCCTCTACTATATGTGCCTCAACCTTCTCTCAGCTCCAGAGAAGACAGGACCACCTTCTGAAGAAGGTAAGATGCTACAATTTGACCACTCATGTGGCCTGTGCTGGTCTTTAGAGTCTGCGTGCCTTGCTGATTGACTAGATAGTGAGTTAGTACAGGCATGAGATTTCTTTGCTTGAGGCTGTCCAGAGGAATCGGAGTGATACTATTATAGGTTGATTCCTAGGGATATGAAATAATAGAACTATAAAATGATGGACCCCAAGGCTCCTGGCACCTTAGAGTTGAGAAGGATCCTCATGTCCATCAAGTCCAGTTCCTTCTTCCTGACAGTCGCCTCTGCAACATCCCCACACCAGGCCTCAGGAGTCCAGTGTTCACTATAGCATGAATAGTGTGTTCTGTTTCTTCATTCATTCAAGTAGTGTTTTTTTCCTTCCTTCCTCCCTCCCTCCTCCCTCCCTTCCTCCCTCCCTCCCTCCCTCCCTTCCTTCCTGTCTTGGTCTCCCAAAGTGCTGGGATTACCGGCTTGAGCCACCATGCCTGTTCTTCTTTCCTATTCTTTTGGTATTAAAATATTCCTTTTATGAAACCGTTTTCATAAGAAATCTAGAAATCTCTGCCCTCAGGATAAAGTCCCACTTCTTTAAGTGGCATTTGCTTAAAGGTCTTTCACAGTCCAGCTACAGATTACATCACATAGTTCCCCAGCTGCTGACACCCCACATCTATTCACTGACTGTCCAGTCACACTGAATGGAAACATGGCATGTCTTCTCATGCCTTCGGGCCTCTGAACACCTCGCTTCCTTTTCTCTTTTCTCCTGTCGCTGCCTCTTCTCACCCTCCACAGCTTGTTTGTTTCTTTCTTTTTCTTTTTTTTTTTTTTGAGATGGAGTCTCGCTCTGTCACCCAGGCTGGAGTGCAGTGGTGCGATCTTGGCTCACTGCAGGCTCCGCCCCCACCGAGTTCATGCCATTCTCCTGCCTCAGCCTCCCGAGTAGCTGGGACTACAGGGCCCGCTACCTCGCCTGGCTAATTTTTTGTATTTTAGTAGAGACAGGGTTTCACTGTGTTAGCCAGGATGGTTTCCATCCTGACCTCGTGATCCACCCGCCTTGACCTCCCAAAGCTTGCTTGCTTTTTTCTGAGATGGAGTTTTGCACTGTCACCCAGGCTGGAGTGCAATGGTGCCATCTCGGCTCACTGCAACCTCTGCCTCCCAGGTTCAAGTGATTCTCCCTCAGCCTCCCAAGTAGCTGGGATTATAGGCACCCGCCATCATGGCCGGCTAATTTTTGTATTTTTGTAGGGACAGGGTTTCACTATGTTGGCCAGGCTGGTCTTGAACTCCTGACCTCAGGTGATCTGCCCTTCTCAGCCTCCCAAAATGCTGGGATTATAGGTGTGAGCCACGGCACCCAGCCCACAGTTTCTTCCTCTTTGATCTTGCCTTCCCCATGCCAGGCGATCTGAGTCACTCCCTCCTCAATGTGGTGCTGACCACATGTCCTGCAATTGCCTGTCTCATTATATGTCTCTTCCCATCAGCTGCCAGTTCTTGGAGGTAGGGCCTGGATCTCACAGCCTGTCCTAAGAGTAGTAGCCACTCAATGAACATATGTCAAATGAATGAAAGAATGAATGTTTTTGGGAGGTGGAGGTGGGTGGATCACCTGAGGTCAGGAGTTCGAGACCAGCCTGGCCAACATGGTGAAACCCCGTCTCTACTAAAAATACAAAAAATTAGCTGGGCATGGTGGTGGGTGCCTGTAATCCCAGCTACTTGGGAGGTTGAGGCAGGAGAATTGCTTGAACCCAGAAGGGGGAGGTTGCAGTGAGCCGAGATCGTGCCATTGCACTCCAGCATGGGCAACAGAGCGAGACTCTGTCAAAAGAAAAAAGGAAATAAAAAAGAATGAATGTTAATTTTTGAGACATATCCATGTCCTTCCTCTTGTTAACTTTAGTCTTTCCTGGTAGGCTGAACCTTGCTCAAAGGAAGAGGAGCCTCTGATTTCCTTATTTCCTTCTATACTGCATTTACCCTTGCTGCCCTGTGCAGTACTCTGCATGTAGTAGGTACTAATGTGCTGATTACCTGTTCTCCTATGTTCTCTGTGTGGCTTCCTGTACTTGTTCCCTCCCTAGAACTCTCTGCAGTGTCTGAGCTCCTACAGCACGGGCTGCCCCAGATAAGCAGCAGGAGCCCTGAAAGCCTTGCCTTCCTGTCTGATCGCCAGTACATGGAGGGAGCTGCTCGCCAGAGACAGTACTGCATCCTGCTACTCTTCTACTTGGCCTACATCCACGAGGACAGGTCAGTGCACAAAAGTGATGGCTGGTGGTGGGTCTTGGGACCTTCATCAGCAGTTCAGTTCAGTATTCACAGAGGCATCCCTCCAAGCCTGATGCTGGGCACTGGGGACACAGGGATAAGTAAGAAATGGGTTGTGTCCCTGAGAGGCTCGTATCTTGGAAGGGGGTTAGAACAGGTGGGTAGACACTGTGCTGAGAGACAGAGGCCTGGAAAGCCAATGAGTATTCCTTGCTATCCTTGAGGGTGGTGTTTGTGCACAGAAAAAAAACTTCAGTTTACTTTGGTTTTAATCATTACTATCCAATTTATTACATTTTAAAAATCATGGCTGGGCATGGTAGCTCACGCCTGTAACCCCAGTACTTTGGGAGGCCAAGGTGGGCCAATCACTTGAGGTCAGGAGTTCGAGACCAGCCTGGCCAACACGGCGAAACCCTGTCTCCACAAAACATACAAAAATTAGCTGGTCGTAGTGGTCCACACCTACAATCCTAGCTACTTCGGAGGCTGAGACAGGAGAATTGCTTGAACCCAGGAGGCAGAGGTTGCAGTGAGCCAAGATCATGCCACTGTACTCCAGCCTGGGTGACAGAGTGAGACTCCATCTCAAAAAGGATATAAAAATAAAAGGACTGTTCTTTCTTAAACTTTAAGAAATAATTTATTGGGCTGGGCGCGGTGGCTGACACCTGTAATCACAGCACTTTGGGAGGCCGAGGCAGGTGGATCACCTGAGGTCAGGAGTTTGAGACCAGCCTGACCAACAAGGTGAAACCCCATCTCTACTAAAAGGGCATGGTGGTGGGTGCCTGTAATCCCAGCTACTTGGGAGGCTGAGGCAGGAGAATTGTTTGAACTCAGGAGGGGGAAGTTGCAGTGAGCCGAGATCGTGCCATTGCACTCCAGCATGGGCAACAGAGTGATACTCTGTTTCAAAAAATAAATAAGTTAATAAATTAATAATAATAATTTATTGGCCGGGTGCAGTGACTTACACCTGTAATCCCAGCACTTTGGGAGGCCGAGGTAGGTGGATCACCTGAGTTCAGGAGTTCAAGACCAACCTGACCACCACGGTGAAACCCTGTCTCTACTAAAAATACAAAATTAGCTGGACATGGTGGCGAGCATCTGTAATCCCAACTATTCAGGAGGCTGAAGCAGGAGAATCACTTGAACTTGGGAGGCAGAGGTTGCAGTGAGCTGATATTTCGCCATTGCTCTCCAGCCTGGGCAACAGAGTGAGACTCAGTCTTAAAAAAAAAAAAAAAAATTATTGAGGTAAAATTTACACAACATAAGCTTGACCATTTTAAAGTGAACAATTTAGTGGTATTTAGTATTAATTTAAAATGTGCAACCACCACCTTCATCTAGTTCTAGAACATTTCCATCACTGCAAAGCTGTCACTTCCATTCCTCCTCCCTCCCCAGCTCCTGGCAACCAACAATCTGTTCTGACTCTTTGGATTTACCTATTCTGAATATTTCATATAGATGGAATCATACAAAGTGTGACTTTTTGTGTCTGGCTTCTTCCACTTAGCATAACATTTTAGAAGTCCATCCAGTGAGCATAATGTTTGTATCGTGTATCAGTACTTCATTCCTTTTATGGCTGAATAGTATACCTTTGTATATATACACTATAATTTGCTTTTATTCACCTATTGATGGACATTTGGGCTCTTCCACCTTTTGGCTGTTGTGAATAGTGCTGTTGTAAACATGTGTGTACATGTATTTGTTTGAGTAGTGTTTTTAATTCTTTTTGGGTATATTCTCAATCCTCTCACCTTGGCCTTCCCAAATGCTACCATTACAGGCATGAGCCACCACACCTGGCCTCCTGTTTGCTGTCTTTTCGCTTTCTTTTCTTTCTTCCTTTCCATTCCTGTCCTGTCCTGTCCTTTCCCCTTTTCCCTCCCCTCCTCTCCTCTCCCTTCACCTCCCTTCCTCTTCCCTCCCCTCCCCTACTCTACCCTCCCTTTTTCCTTACCTTCCCCTTCCCTGTTCCTCTTCCTTTCCTTTCGTATCTTGCTGTCTCACCGAGGCTGAAATGCAGTAGCACAATCATGGCTTACTGCAGCCTCAACCTCCTGGGCTCTAGCAATCCTCCCATCTCTTTGTAGAGATGACGTCTGACTACATTGCCTAGGCTGGTCTCGAACTTCTGGCCTTAAGCAATTCTCCCACCTCAGCCTCCCAGAGTGCTGAGACTCTAGGCATGAGCCATCACACCTGGCCCTTTTCACTTTCTTAGCGGTATCTTTTGAAGCACAAATGTTTTTAATTTTGATGACCTCTAATTTATCTATTTTTTCTTTTGTCATTTATGCTTTTGGTGTTATATCTGTTAAATACACCACTGTTTAATGATAAATACAAAAAGAGAGGGGTGGAGTAGCTGCCAAAGCAGGGCCTTCTGAACCCTAGCAGTAGCACCCTTTTCTTTAACAGTGCTGGTCCAGCTGGCAGATAGCTCACCTCCCAAGTGTGAATGAGGAGTATTTGGCCCCTAACAAGCATTGTTCTATGCCTTGAGTCTTGCACAAGGCATAGAAAAATGCGATGTATGTATATGGCAATGCTTTGTAAGTATGTATAGCACACTGTTTGTATAAGATGTCATTAGGCTGTGGGCATGCTGGGGCAGGACAGTGGGCTGAGGAAGGATGTGGCCAGGCAGGATGGAAGAGCCCAGTGGCCTGCCAGCTCTGCCTTTCTCACTCAGGCTTTTCTTGGTTGACAGGTTTGTCTCAGAGGCAGAATTATTTGAGGCTGTACAAAGCTTCCTTCTGTCTCTGCAGGACCAGGGCGAGCGCCCCCCACTGGTGGTCTTCAAAGCCTCCATCTATCTGCTTGCAATCTGCCAGGACAAAGACAATACACTACATGAGGTATGGACCACAATGCCTGGACTCCTCCTCCTCCTGTACCTCTTTACATTAGTGTTCCCTGAGAGACCATGATGATGATAGTGTATAGACAAGCATGTGGTAGAGAGAGACAAAGTGGAGGTGTTAGAGAGTGGAGAGGAGTAGGATGCAGACTCATACAGAGCCTGTATAATTTACCTAATTCTTTCAGCAGTCCTGGGAGGAAGAGATTATTATTTGCATTCTACAGATAAGAAAATCAGGACTGAGGCTGGCCACAGTGGCTCATGCCTATAATCCCAGCACTTTGGGAGGCTGAGGTGGGTGGATCACCTGAGGTCGGGAGTGCAATGGTGTGATATCGGCTCACTGCAACCTCCGCCTTCTGGGTTCAAGCGATTCTCCTGCCTCAGCCAGGAGTTCAAGACCAGCCTGGGCAACATAGTAAGACCTTGTCTCTACAAAATACTAAAAATTGAAAAAAAAAAAAACAAAACTCTTCAGTCACCTTTAGAGGATGCTATGCAACAAACTCATGTTTTTGAAAACTGGTAACCAAAGGAAAAGAATCAAACATTTCACCTATGTTTCCTATGTAATCTAACCCTTCAGAGTAACTGAATAGTTAATGAGGGGAAGTTTCCCCTTCTGTTTTTTTTTTTTTTTTTTTGAGACAGAGTCTCGCTCTGTCACCCAGGCTGGAGTGCAGTGGTGCGATCTCTGCTCACCACAAGCTCCACCTCCTGGGTTCACGCCATTCTCCTGCCTCAGCCTCCTGAGTAGCTGGGACTACATGCGCCCGCCACCATGCCTGGCTAATTTTTTGTATTTTCAGTAGAGACGGGGTTTTATCATGTTAGCCAGGATGGTCTCCATCTCCTGACCTCGTGATCCGCCAGCCTCGGCCTCCCAAAGTGCTGGGATTACAGGCGTGAGCCACCACGCCCAGCCAGGAGTTTCCTTTTATACAAGTATTTAAGTTAATAAACAAAGAGAGAATGACAGAACTAGAATATTATTGTTTTGTAATCCCTAATTAATTAGTGGATCTAGGCAGTGATCACCAGTGGCTGCTACTATCACAAAGAGAAAGACAACAGGACATTGTGTGCCCAGGTGTGTCTTACTTGAAAACCCATTCACGGCCGGGCGCGGTGGCTCAAGCCTGTAATCCCAGCACTTTGGGAGGCCGGGACGGGCGGATCACTAGGTCAGGAGATCGAGACCATCCTGGCGAACACGGTGAAACCCCGTCTCTACTAAAAAATACAAAAAACTAGCCGGGCGAGGCGGCGGGCGCCTGTAGTCCCAGCTACTCGGGAGGCTGAGGCAGGAGAATGGCGTAAACCCGGGAGGCGGAGCTTGCAGTGAGCTGAGATCCGGCCACTGCACTCCAGCCCGGGCGACAGAGCCAGACTCTGTCTCAAAAAAAAAAAAAAGAAAAGAAAAAAGAAAACCCATTCACTTCCACTATGCCTTTCTGTTTCCATTCAAATTAAACCAGGTCTACTCGCATCACATTTGCCTCAACAGTAATCAAAAAGAGGCAAAATTAATAGTCAATGAAGGAACAGTATCTTTAGCTTTAGGCTGAAGGGTCCACACTAAGGAACAGAAGCAATATTCTATGACATAGGTGAGAGGTTCAGTGATGAATCAGACATGGCCCTTGATCCCAGGAGTTTATAAAGAATCTGGAGAGAGAAAACTTGTCCACACACAACCACCATGAAAGTGATCCAATAGCCTGACTAACAATGATCTGAGTCCCAGCAATCCACTTTCTTTGATAAACTGTTACCAGAAGGAGATACCAATACCTCAGAGCTCTTTGCTCCTGTACCAACCAGAGGTGGTACTAAGGAATGAGCCTTAGGAGTCAGTCAAGTCTGAGCTGGAGTCCTGACTCCCCCATCAGTTAACTGTGTGATCTACAGAAAGTTACTTGAACTTCAGTCTTGATTTTTTTTTTCAGAATACTAATAATTTTCATGACCTGAGAAACCTTTGCTTCTAAACGAAAAGTTCTCTAACAATTGAACAACAAGAGTCTTGCTCTTGTTTCCCAGGCTGGAGTGCAGTGGCACCATCTCAGCTCACTGCAACCTCCGCCTCCCGGGTTCAAGCAATTCTCCTGCCTCAGCCTTCTGAGTAGCTGGGATTACAGTGGGATTGCAGGCATGTGCCACTACGCCCAGCTAATTGTTGTATTTTTAGTAGAGACTGGTTTTCACCATGTTGGTCAGGCTGGTCTCGAACTCCTGACCTCAGGCAATCCACGTGCCTTAGCCTTTCAAAGTGCTGGGATTACAGGCATGAGCCACCGTGCCCGGCCAGAAAATTTTTAAAAATTGGCCAGGCATGGTGGTGCACACCTGTGGTCCCAGCTACTGGGAAGGCTGAGGCGGGAGGATTACTTGAGCCCAAGAGGTCGAGGCTGCTGTGAGCCACGTTCATGCCACTGCACTCCAGCCTGGGTGACAAGAGTAGGACCTTGTCTCAAAAAATAAGATAAAATTTAATGTAAATATATAAAGGGCAACATACAATCACAGGTTGATTTTCTAGTCAATTTTATTTTGATATAATTGCACCTTACAAAAAATTACAAGAATAGTTCAAGATATCGATTAGCCAGATTCACCAATGTTTATTTTTATCTCATTTGCATTCTCTCTTTTCCCATCCCCACCCCATATTCTTTTTTTCTGAACCACTTGAAAATAATTTTCAGATAGTCATTTTATTCATAAATCCTTCAATGTGTATTTCCTAAGAATTAGGACTTTATCTTTTACACAATCAGAGTACAGTGATCAAAAGCAAGAAATTTAACATTGTATATAATACTATGTAATCGGCCGGGCACGGTGCTCAAGCCTGTAATCCCAGCACTTTGGGAGGCCGAGACAGGCGGATCATGAGGTCAGGAGATCGAGACCATCCTGGCTAACACGGTGAAACCCCGTCTCTACTAAAAAATACAAAAAACTGCTGGCCGGGCGCGGTGGCTCAAGCCTGTAATCCCAGCACTTTGGGAGGCCGAGACGGGCGGATCACGAGGTCAGGAGATCGAGACCATCCTGGCTAACACGGTGAAACCCCGTCTCTACTAAAAAATACAAAAAAACTAGCCGGGTGAGGTGGCGGGCGCCTGTAGTCCCAGCTACTCAGGAGGCTGAGGCAGGAGAATGGCGTGAACCCGGGAGGCGGAGCTTGCAGTGAGCCGAGATCCGGCCACAGCACTCCAGCCTGGGTGACAGAGCGAGACTCCGTCTCAAAAAAAAAAAAAAAAAAAAAAAAAAAAAAAAAAAAAAAAAAAAAAAAAAAAATACAAAAAACTAGCCGGGCGAGGTGGCGGGCGCCTGTAGTCCCAGCTACTCGGGAGGCTGAGGCAGGAGAATGACGTGAACCCGGGAGGCGGAGCTTGCAGTGAGCTGAGATCCGGCCACTGCACTCCAGCTCGGGTGACAGAGCGAGACTCTGTCTCAAAAAAAAAAAAAATAATAATAATACTATGTAATCCATAGTAGTCAATAGTCAAATTTCACTATTTATACCAAAATGTTCTACTTTTTTTTTTTTTTTTGAGATGGAGTCTTGTTCTGTCGCCAGGCTAGAGTGCAGTGGCGTGATCTCGGCTCACTGCAACCTCCACCTCTCGGGTTCAAGTGATTCTCCTGCCTCAGCCTCCTGAGTAGCTAGGATTATAGGAGCCTGCCACCACACCCAGCTAATTTTTTATATTTTTAGTAGATACAGGGTTTCACCATGTTGACCAGGCTGGTCTTGAACTCCTGATCTCAGGTGATCCACCCGCTTCGGCCTCCCAAAGTGCTAGGATTACAGGTGTGAGCTACCGCGCCTGGCCCAAAATGTTCTTTATAGCTATTCATTTCTAGTCCAAGATTCAATATAGAATTATACATTACATTCGGTTGTCATGTGTCCACTTTAGTTTTTTTTTTTTGGTCTTTGAACAGCTTCTTACCTTTTTGTTTTACGACTTCATGACATTGACATGTTTTAAGATTACAGAATAGTTATTTTGTAGACCGTTCCTCACTTTGGATTTTTCTGATATGTCTTCATTATTAGATTTAGGTTGTACATTTTGGACAAGAATACCACACAAGTGATATTGTGTCTTCAGGAGGCATATGATGATGGTTTTTCCCATTATTGGTAATGTTTTTGGTGATTACTTGATGTGTTAGATTTCTTCAGTATAAAGTTACTATTTTTTTGGCCACATGCAGTGATTCATGCCTATAACCCCAGCACTTTGGGAGGCCAAGATGGGAGGATTGCTTGAGGCCAGGTATTTGAGATCAGCATGGGCAACAAAGGGAGAGCCTTTCTCTACCAAAAAAAAAAAAAAAAGTAAGTTACTATTTATCTCCTTGTAACTAATAAGTATCTAGTAGGAAGATACTTTGAGGCTATGTATATATTCTGCTCCTCATCAAACTTTCTCCTAGTTTTAGCATCCATTGATGATTGCGGGCTGAATGAAGATTACAAAACAGTGATTTTTCTGATACAATTTCTTTATATATATATATATATTATATATATATATAAAATATATATATACACACACACACACACACACACACACACACACACACACACATTTGTTTTTTAGACAGAGTTTTGCCCTGTCGCCCAAGCTGGAGTGCAGTGGCGCAATCTCGGCTCACTGCAACCTCTGCCTCAGGTTCAAGCATTATCCTGCCTCAGTCCCCAAGTAGCTGGGATTATAGGTGCCTGCCACCATGCCTGGCTAATTTTTGTGTTTTTAGTAGGGACAGGGTTTCACCATGTTGGCCAGGCTGGTCTTGAACTCCTGACCTCGTGATCCACTCGCCTCAGCCTCCCAAAGTGCTGGGATTACAGGCGTGAGCCACCATGCCTGGCTTACAATTCCTTCTATATTTTTAGTTGGAATTCTACTGTATGGATGTTTTCTTCTTTTTATTTGTTTATTCATTTTACTCAATATTATTATTATTTTTCGAGACAGGGTCTTACTTTGTCACCCAGACTGGAGTGCAGTGGTGTGATCACAACTCCCTGCAGCCTTGACCTCCTGAGCTCAAGCAATACTCCCACCTCAGCTTCCTGAGTAGCTGGTACCATAGGCATGCACCACCATGCCTGGTTAATTTTTTTTTTTTCTGTAGAGACGGGCTGGTCTCAAACTCCTGGACTCAGGCAATTCCCCTGCCTTAGCCTCCGAAAATGCTAGAATTACAGGTGTGAGCCGCTGCTCCTCTCCAGTATTATTTTGAGAATTACTCATGTAGATTCATGTTGCCCTAGTTCATCAGGAAGTTGTTCTGATCAGAGTGAAAAGAAAGGTTAGGAGGGAGGTGAAAGAGAGTTTAGAAGGCCAAACAGGGACCATCAAGCTACTGGAGGCAGGGAAGCTCTTTGTTCTGGGCAGCTGGTAAAGCTAAAGAGGTGTGGGTAGAGGAGCACCCTTCATGGTCACTGAGGTCCTTGGTGAGCAATGGGACTGCCTAGGTGGGTGGTGCTGCAAGGGACACCTTGCCTCCTTTCCTTTGCTTCTGTCTCTGATGTTACCTTCTCTGTGTGGTATCTTCTATGAGAAGCTTCCTTGGTGCCATTTACCTGTGAATGCCCTCTGTGTAGAAGCAGGGTAACCTTGTATACCTGCATTGTGCAGAAAGGCAGGACTCTTGGTTCACATTCTGGTTCTGTTGCTAATGTTCTGGGCCTTCCTGAGAGATCTCCTTCCCTTTCTGGCCTTGGCAGAGTTATCTCTGAGATCCTTTCTGATTCTCATGGTCTTTGAGCCTTTGTGGAAGCAGTGGAGGAGATACACAATGATGTGTGTTGAGGTATGTGTCTGAGGATCCCCAATAGTCGGAGTGTGGGTGACTCTGTGGGGATGGATATTTCAGAGTGTCCAGCCCTACTTATGCCTAGAAGCTCTTCCTTTTCAGCAACTTATTCCAGTTTGATCAGCATTTCCTAAGATGTTGAACACAGCTCTATGCCCATGATTTTTATTTGCTTCTCAACATTTCAGCAGCTCAACAATGTGGATTGACCACTTGACATGAACTAGGTACCATGTGGGGCCCTGTCAGGTCTGAAATGAATCAAACAAGTTCCTTGCCCTCAGAGAACACAAGTTTGTCAGGAGAGACAAAAAGATCTCCTATGGGGCAGGCAGCTACAGTAATGATGCTCTCCTGGAGCTGGAGGACTGGCCAAGAAGCAGCAAAGCACAAGGGGAAAGATTGTGTCTGATTATACAGCATCAGGAGAGGCTTTGTGGAGGAGATGGAGGAGGTGAAGGGAGAACCTTGAAGCTGAGAGCAGAGTATGATTTAATGTGCAAAAGTGGGAAGATGCCCAATCTATCCATTCAAGGAAGGAAGCCTAGCTTAATGTGCCTTAGCTAAGTCATATGGGAGGTAGAATAGAGAGGAGCTGAAAAGGTAGACTTAAGTCTTTATTAAAATACTTGAAAATGATATTAGGCCGGGTGCAGTTGCTCATGCCTGTAATCCTAGCACTTTGAGAGGCCGAGGCAGGCGGATTGACTGAGCTTAGGAGTTTTAGACCAGCCTGGGCAACGTGGTGAAACCCTGTCCCTACTAAAGTACAAAAAATTAGCCGGGCATGGCAGCATGTGCCTGTAGTCCCAGCTACTTGGGAGGCTGAGGCAGGAGAATTGCTTGAACCCGGGAGGCGGAGGTTGCAGTGAGCTGTGAGCTGAAATTGTGGCACTGCATTCCAGCATGGGTGACATAGTGAGACTCTGTCTCCAAAAAAAAAAAAAAAAGAAAGAAAATGAAATTAAGGGAGCAATTCCATTTACAATAGCATCAAGACATTAAATACTTGGGAATATAACTTAACAAAGTATAAGGACTTTGTATTAGTTCTCGCATTGTTATAAAGAACTATTAGAGACTGAGTAATATATAAAGAAAAGAGATTTATGTGACTCACAGTTTCACAGGCTGTACAGGAAGCATGGCTGAGGAAGTCTCAGGAATCTTAATCGTGGCAGAAGGCAAAGGGGAAGCCGCCACATCTTATATGGCTGGAGAAGGAGGAAGAGAGTGAAGGGGGAGGTGCTACAAACTTTAAAGCAACCAGGTCTCATGAGAATTCACTCAGTATTACAAGAACAGCAAGGGGGAAGTCCACCCCCATGATCCAGTCACCTCCCACCAGGCTCTTCCTCCAACATTGAGGATTATAATTTGGACATGAGATTTGGGCAGGGACACAAATCCAAATCATATAAACTTATATAGTGAAAATTTCAAAACATTACTGTTTTTCTCTAGTTTTTTTTTTAATTAAAAATCTAAATTAACAGATTGCATTCATGAATTGGAAGACTTAATAGTGTTAAGATGGCACATATTGATCAATAGATTCAATGCAATCTATATCAAAATCCCAGCTGTACTTTTTTGCAAAAATGAACAAGCCGAACCTAAAATTCATATGGAAATGCAAAATAGTCAAAACAATCTTAAAAAGAAGAACAAAGTTGGAAGACTCATACCTTTTATTTTGGAACTTGCCAAAAAACTATAGTAATCAGGATAGTGTGGTACTGACATATAGGGTAGACATATAGATCAATGGAATAGAATTGAGAGTCCAGAAATAAACCTATATATTTATGGTCAATTTTTGATGAGGATGCCAAGATAATTCAATGGAGAAAGATTGTCTTTTCAGAAAATTTCCAGGAACAATAGACATATATATGCAAAAGAATGAAGTTGGACTCTTAACTCATACTGTACACAAAAATGAACTCACAATGAATGAAAGACCTAAATGAGCCAAAACTGTAAAACTCATATAATAGCATACTAAGGAATTTTTTTTTTTTTTTTTTTTTTTTTTTTTGAGAAGGAGTTTCACTCTTGTTGCCCAGGCTGGAGTGCAATGGCGCAATCTTGACTCACCACAACCTCCGCCTCCCAGGTTCAAGCGATTCTCCTGCCTCAGCCTCTCAAGTAGCTGGGATTACAGGCATGTGCCAATATGCCCTGCTAATTTTGTATTTTTAGTAGAGACGGGGTTTCTCCGTGTTGACCAGGCTGGTCTCAAACTCCCGATCTCAGGTGATCCGCCCACCCCGGCCTCCCAAAGTTGCTGGGATTACAGGCATGAGCCCCTGCGCCCAGCCTCATACTAAGAAATTTGAACATTGTTATATGTGCAATGGAAGAGGTAGGTTTGTGAGAAGTAAGAAATTATTCAACAAGGCGGGGCATGTGGCTCACACCTGTAATCCCAGCACTTTAGGAGGCCACGGCGGGTGGATCACCTGAGGTCAGGGTTCGAAACCAGCCTGACCAACATGAGAAACCCCATCTCTACTAAAAATACAAAATTAGCAGGCATGGTGGCACATGCCTGTAATCCCAGCTACTCAGGAGGCTGAGGCAGGAGAATCACTTGAACCCAGGAGGCAGAGATGCAGTGAGCTGAGATCATGCCATCGCACTCCAGCCTGGGCAATAAGAGCAAACTCTGTCTCAAGAAAAAAAAAAAAAAAGAAATTATTCAACATATTTCCCCTTCACCCTTCTGTGCCAGGCCCTATACTAAGTGCACAGATTATCTGTCACAGTGCTACCCTCAAGCAGCTTTCAGTCTAGTGTGGGAGGTAGACATGCACACTGACAATTACAACCCACTGTGTATCATCATCAAGCTGGGTTTGTTGACCTCAGCACTATTAACATTTTGCACAGATCATTCTTCTTTGGGATAGGCTTCCTGGCATTGTAGGAGATTTAGCAGCATCCCCACTCTCTCCCCACTAGATCCTAATAGCATTCCCCCAATCAAGGAAGTAAAAATGTCTCCAGACTTTACCAAATGTCCCATGGGAGCAAAATGACCCCTAGTTGAGAACTTCTGTTATAAGGTAAGTACAGTGGTATTTTTCACTAGAGTGCCTTGGATGAGCTAGCCAAGGTGTCCTGGAATACTGAGATGCCAGTACATTTTTCCTAGTCATCTCTTGGCCATGTTGGGTCTCTTGGTCCTCTGCACGGTATATTTACCTCCTTTCTTTGTTTTGCCTCTAGACTATGGTCAGTGCAGTCAGAAAATTCCTAGAAGGCATCCCAGACCTGCAGCTAGTCTATACCCACCATCCGCTCCTGCTCAGGTTCTTTCTGTGTATCCAGAGCTCATGAGTAGGTATGGGTACCGTGTCCTGGAACTTTGGTTCTCCTGGGAAGAGAGCAGCTGTGAGGAACTGGATGATGTCACCTCTGCTGGGCAGCCCGCCCTTCCTACCAGCTTAGCAGTCCTGTTCCAGTTGCTCAGAAGCATCCCCAGCATCCTGCTCATCTTGCTGGTAGGCAACCACTCATTCATTTCTACATTCAGAAATTGTGGGCCTTCTCTCTGAGAGCCAGTTTACTGACATCAGGAGGCACCCACATTTGCTTCAGCCCACCTCTGGACTTATCACTGTCTACATGTGAGTTGGGCGGGGGTCTTTTCTACTTGTAGGTGCCTGGTTTCTATAAATCCATACTCTCCTAAGTCTAATGGAAGTCTACCAACTGAGACATGTGTGCCTCTCTTCCCCCCAGGGATGACACTATAAAATGCAGATCTTAGTCACTATCCCCTCTCACCTCCCTGTCATATCTCAAGCAGATTCTGCTGACACAAGGTTTAATGTCAAAGGAAGCCCATGGGGCATGTAGATGGAGCATTCTGATGGCAGAGGGACTCCTCCTCTTTTTGCCATGACTCACATGATAATATTATATGTGCATTACTTGCTCAGGCATACCTAGAATTGTCAGATACCCAATACTTTTTTTCTGGAGACAGAGTCTCACCCTGTTGCCCAGGGTGAAGTGCAGTGGCATTATCTGGGCTCACTGCAACCTCCACCTCCTGGGTTCACACAGTTCTCCTGCCTCAGCCTCCCAAGTAGCTGGGACTACAGGCACACACCACCAAACCCGGCTAATTTTTTTTTTTTGTATTTTAGTAGAGATGGGTTCCCTGTGTTGCCCAGGCTGTCAGTACTTTTTAATGAAGTACATTACTGAAATTCCCATCAGGAATTAGATGGGTAATTAGATTAGATAAGGTAAACTGCCTAGTGGCTGGCTTTAACTCAGCTTTTTTTCCTTCTACTCAAGAAAGCACATTAAACAACAAATTAGATACCAAGGAGAGTAGCAGGAACAGAACTAAGATACTAGGTTTCTTCACCAATGAAATATTGGGTCAGTTCCTCACACATAATAGGTATTTATAAATTATGACCCATTGAATTATGGGTCTGGACAGATCTAAGTCTGTCTAGGGATATAGTGACAATACAGTCATGCATCACTTAATGATGGGGATACATTTTAGAACACGGTATTAGGTGATTTGTCATTGTGCCAACATCATGGAGTATACTTACACACATCTAAATGGTCTAGCCTACTACATTTAGGCTATGGGAGACCTGTTACTCCTAGGCTATAATCCTATATAACATGTTACTGTACTGAATATGAGACAAATGTAACACAGTGCATTTGTATGTCTAAACATAGAAAAGATATAACATGACTATGTCTTATTTTCTTCTTTTTTTTTTTGTTTTCTTGCTCTGTTGCCCAGGCTGGAGTGCAGTGGCAGGATCATGGCTCACTGCAGTGTCATCTCCTGTTTCAAGTGATCCTCCTGCCTCACCTCCCAAGTAACAAGAATTGACTGGGTGCTGCAGCTCATGCCTGTAATTCTAGTACTTTGGGAGGCTGAACTGGTGAATCACCTGAGGTCAGGAGTTCAAGACCAAGTAGCTACAGGCATGTGCTACCGTGTCTGGCTAACTTTTATATTTTTTGTAGAAACAGTGTTTTGTCATGTTGCCCAAGCTGGTCTCAAATTCCTGGCCTCCAGTGATCCTCCCACCATGGCCTCCCAAAGTGTGGGATTACAGGCATAAATGACTGTGCCTGCCATTTTTTTTTTTAAAACATGAAACATCGGCTTAGAGAGATTTGCCCATGGTCACAAGAGTTGGGAATCAAAATATTAAAACCCAGATTTGACTCCCTATCTATCAGTTATCTGTCTGAGGCTCTCTTTTACTCAGTCTAATTTATTCTCCCTGGGTTGTCTCATTCACGCTCATGGCTTTGTTTGCCTCCTATATAGTGATGACTCAAAACTCTGCGCCACCCTGACCTCTCTCCTGAGCTCAGACCCATGAAGTCAACCATCTGTTGACATTTCTGCCTAAAATGGAGGCTCATTATCTCCTCTCCAAATTCCCTTTTCAGCCTGGGTCTTCCTAGAATGAGGTCCCCTCACTAACTGAAAGTGTGCTAGGCCGCAACTTCACGGGGAGTAAATATTAAAAGAAGCAAACCAAACAGAAATTGAATCTCAGGAGACCAAATACTTAGAGCTAATCCCAGGAAGCGGAGTGGATGCCCACCATAATCCTGGTGACCCAGTCCTTGCGTTGGAATGGTGCACCATCCTCATCACCTCTCCTTCTGGAGGTGGGGAGGTCAGGGCAGAGAGGAGGTCTTGTGCTTCACTTGGCAGAGAGCTAACAGAAAGGAGTTGCCTTCAAGATGGGTTGTGCATAGAGGATTAGGAAGATAGAGGCTAATCTAACTCAGTTCCTCCCACAGAAAATGGAGAAAACATGAGGGTAGATGAGATAGTATGTAGGAACACTCTTGATTTGCTTCGCATAGTGGGCTGTCATCACTAATCATTGACTCTGCCTCTGAACCAGAAAAGTTCATCTCAGAGAAGCTAATGAATTGGCCCAAGGTCATAAGTAATAAGGGTCATGGCTATGACTGGAGCCCAAGTGAGTAAGTTTTCACTAACTTAGACCCTAGAGACATCAATGGTAAAAAAGAAGAACAGGGAGACCGGGCGTGGTGGCTCACGCCTGTAATCCCAGCACTTTGGGAGGCTGAGGCGGGGTGGATCACAAGGTCAGGCAGGTTAGAGACCAGCCTGGTCACAACGTACAATTTAGAGCCCGTCCTTACTAAAAATACAAACAATAGCTGGCATGGGTGGGTGGGCCGCTTGTAGTCCCAGCCACTTGGAGCTGAGGCAAGAAGAATCGCTTGAACCGGGAGGCGGAGGTTGCAGTAACCAAGATCGAGCCACTACACTCCAGCCTGGGCACAGAGCTAGACGTCATCTCAAAAAAAAAAAAAAAAGAACAGTAGGGAACAACTTTATTGTCTGTTCATATATATAATTCTTACCATTTCTCCCCAGCTTCTAGCCACAGGAAGGAAAAAGAGTCTAAAAATTGTGTTTGAAAACCAATTTCTGTTTTTGATATGGGTAATTAACAGCTGAAAACAAAGCTGTTAATTGCTACTCTTATCAATGGGTGGCCTTTCATGTAGCTTGTTTAGATGTGAAGGGACAATGACATCACAGAAACTCTGTTTGTTTCCTCCTTGGCCAAGTTACCCTGGTCTATCTAGTCCCAGAGAGTTCTGGACAGCAGAGACTACAGATTGGGTCATGGTTTTGCCCAGAGCCTTCCCACTGATCCATATGGTGGGGTCCACACATTCCTCTTCCTTCAGCATTCACCATAGCCACTCAAAGCTGAGAAGCCCCTTCCTTTATACCTTTAACATTCATTAACTCAGACTTCTGAGGGACTAGCTCTGTGGCAGTGGGGCAGTGATGTTGGTAAAGGTGCAAGACCAGGAAACTGGTTTGACTCTGGGCTCTATGACCTTGCACAAATCATGCTCCTCCCTTCCACCGGCTTCAGCCTCATACTCTGTAAAGGAAAGGTATTGAAAAAATTATCTAGATTCTTTCTAGCCCTCCATTCTGTGACCTTTTCTTTCCAGA